CCCCCCCCCCCCCCCCCCCCACCCCCACCCCAGCCTCGGAGTCTCTCCCCCCTCCAGCCCCTACCCGCTTCCTGTCGGGCTCTGGCTGAAAAGACGAGCCAAGCAGGCCAGGGGATTACAGCCACGGGGGTGTCTGTGTGTGCGTGGGGGGCGACGAGGAGAACTGATGCGCAAGTTTGAAGGGGAGGGGGGGGGGGTCACAGAAGGTGGGAGAGATTTATTTTTTTTTTTATCTGTTTATAAAGTTTTTACATTTTTTTTATTTTTTATTTTTGCTTATGTGCGACTGTCCATCCCAGGACGGACTGTCACGTCGCCAAGGTGGAACATCTGTAAAGTTACTTACAGCTGAAATTCCCCGTACGGAACCGAAGGAGGAATGTGCCTTTGTCGCAGGGTAATTGTGTGGCGAGGCGAAGCCGGTTGGCCCGGCGCTGCTCCTCTGGGCCGTTTGTGATGTCATGGGAGAGGGGAGGGGTGTTCTGACTGCTAACACACATGGATAAATCACAGCCCTTTTCCACGTTCGTAGGCAGAATGTGCCGGACCTTCAGTTTCCTTCATTCTCCCCATTGCTCCTTGTCAGATGTTGGGCTTATTGGTTCAGCCTAAAGGGACTGTTTCTGTGAAATTATAAAATGTTTGATTGGCCGTTTTGTTTTTCTGTGTTCTGCGTAGCCTTGCTAAAAAAGGTCTCAAATTCTTCGTGAGGCTGGTGGGTCCATTTTGGCATGATGCTCCTTGGTCTGTAGCACTTAAGGTCTGAGTCCTGACCTTCACAAACTCCCAAAGATGGCTAACGTGGGTCCTCCTCCTCGCGTGTTCTGTCACTTTCTGAAACTTCCTGTACTGCGTGGAAGTCCCTGTGTGAATTTTTGCTTTCACATATGGAGTCCGTCGATCCTCAGACATGCCCCACACCCTGGCATGAGTCTCCGTTGCTACTTGACGGTAGAATTTTGGAAAGGTACACAAGACAGACTCCACGACAAGATAAGTTTGTCATCGTGAATTACATTTCACCACTCCTTCCATGTCATTAGTAAATAAATAAATGTATATCCTTTTCTCCCCCATTGCAGTCTGTTAATCTGGTTTTGGGACTGTTTTTTGTTTTTTAAATACCCCCCCCCCCCCCCCTTATCTGTCTCAGAAAGGGTGTTTCACTCAAGATGCCCCTGTCACCTTGTGAGTGTCCGTTTTTAGTTCAAATAGTTTTTAATTACTGAAAATGCGGCAACAATTAAGCTTGACAATTACGTGACCCACATGTTCCCAGATGCCGCTGAAGTTCGCCATCGCAATCTTTTCACCTCATTTTTTGCTTTTTTTACTGTGTGGGGTGGGATGGAAAGGCATTCTGTTGCAGATGTGTTTGTAAGATGTAGTGGATAAGCAACCGAGAATGTGACCAGAATATCAGTGGTTCTCGTTTTTGACATTTTAAAACTCATACTGCTTTTGTACTTCAAGCTGCTATGGCCTGAAGCACTTTGCCATAAAAATGCTTAAAACATTCTGCAGGTTAAGCAATTTTTTTTTTTAATATTCTGTAGATAAACAACATGAAATCTGCAAATCCTCTTTCTGGCTTTTGAAACAATGGCAGAGTTTCACTGTGGAAAACCTGGGCTGTATTTCAGTTAGTGTCGATGGCTTCTTATAAGATATTACAGTTGCATGCTGGGCCAATGTACTGGAGATTAAGTGAATAAGAATGCCGTGTTTTTTGTGTTGGTTTTAGTCATGTTTTACGTGGAAGCAGCAGGCAGGGGCGGGGGTGGGGGGGGGTAATCCAGTGCCATTTTGTTGAAAGCCAGTGAATGCAGCTGACAGTCTGAATTAGCCAACCACGGATGTCTCACTTCCCACCTGGAAACAAAGAGGACATTGGGTTATTAGCGTCCTCATCCAAACGTTCAGCCCCGGCGTGGCGCTTCTCTTCGGTGACAGACTGCGACCGCGCTCATTTTATTTGGCCATGAGCTGATTGGATTTGAGACGGTCCCTGTCTCTCCCTCCAGCTCGGGCCTGACAAAGCCGTGCTCTCTTTAGCGCTAGCTAATAGATATAATAATGGGCTTTGCCTTATTGTTAAGTGACTTGGAGGGCCTCAGAGCGGTCTTGAAGTTAGCGCTGCCCCTGTTTCCTCTCTTGTTCCACAGCTGCTGCTCTGCCTTTACTCATTTTTTTGCTGCCATCCTCTTCTGTTCTACTCGTCCCCTCGTTCCCTACCTGCCTCTGTACCCAAAGGCATTCTTTCTCGCGCATGTCATTCACCAGACTCTTGTGAGTTACCTGCCAAAAAACTTTGGCCGTAACTCTCAGTCCAATCCACTCGGTAAAACAAACATTGTTTCAGTGCCGTCATATTTTTTACGTCGTACTTGCGTTCTGTTCTTTAATTGCTCGGATTATCGCTAAGTGTGTTGTCCTTGGGGATAAATGTTTCCCCTTTCATCTCTTGAAGATTCGGCATTTAATGGTAGCTTTGAGTGGTATCGTCCGTGGGATATCCATTAAATCAATATTTGAAGATCTTAAGCAGCCTAATTTGTATCAGCCAAACAGGTATTTCGAGTCAATGAAGTAAATAAGAGACTTTTTGTTATAAAACCGTGTTCCCCTGTTCAGCTTTTAAGGATTGGATTTCTCCTAGTTGAACAAATCCCTTCCTTAATTGATCGGTAAACGGCAGCTCTTGTCAAATGAAAAGGGAATTAGGATGACATTTGTTTACTGAATTCCAGTTCTGCAGGGGAGCCTGTGAGATGGGCTGGACAGTAGTGGACTGTGTGCAGTTTTCTTTCTTGATCTGCCTGTATATCACTGTGCTTTGTTGAGCATGGCTGTTGAAGCATGCATGTGGTTGAATGCTTGATTTTAGGGTTGTTTGGTTGCTGGAGCGTGTTGGTTCATGCCTCTTTTTTTCCCCCCCCCCTCCGCAGCGTATTCTGGGATCTGTACTGCGCGGCTCCAGATCGACGGGAGACCTGTGAGCATTCCAGTGAGGCGAAGGCCTTCCATGACTACGTAAGTGGCAGCCTTGTTAAGCATTTGCCTGAATCACTGATGGGTGTCTAGGTGGTAGTCCCATTATTGTGATTTTGGGGGGGGGGGGGTGAACCATGCCCCAAATACCACTGCACGCTCTTGAACAGGGTTTCTCAACCCGGTCCTCGGGGACCACCAGACGGTCCATGTTTTTGCTCTCTCCCAATTCCCTGCCAATTGGGAGAGAGCAAAAACGTGGACCGTCTGGTGGTCCCCGAGGACTGGGTTGAGAAACCTTGCTCTTGAAGACCCGCCTCCTCAGAGTCCCACCAATGCTGGATGCCGGTTGTGGGGTTCCCTGGACTTGCTTCCTCACTGTGACCTTTGACCCCCTCGGACAACCTAAAGAGCCTTCAGGAAGTCGGCTGTCAGGGTGCGGGTCTTTGATTAGCATCCGCGGTTTCTGCGCAGGCTTGACTCAAAGCATCTGGAGTCATGGTGGGGCGTGAATAATGGTGCAGAGCTAGCAGAGGAGACTGTATGGTCAGCTGTTCACTTTAGGGGGGAAAAAAAATAAAAAATTCTCAGGCTAACTAGAACTTGAAGTATATACAGAACGTGAAATTATTCTTCTAGATTGTCTTTACTGCTTCTCATTCCTATTCACCCATTATGTACAGAAGAGATATCTGCTGTATTCTTTAGCCGTGGCCCCATTGCAGTGTTATGACCCCCAAGGTCCGTCTCCCACCTACCGTGTCCTGAAAGCTTTGCCCTTTCTCCAGGGTTTCAGCAGAGGGCACTCGGCTCAGATATCCTATTACTAAGTTCTAGTCTGAGGATTAATCACCCGTTTCCCTTGGCCTGTGACCTTGCTGAAGTTTAGAGGGTCAGAGTGTATCCGGTTAACCCCAAGTCGGAGCACATGGATCGATTTGGTTTTTTGCGTTCACGTGTGCTGTGCTTGTCTGGATCTTGTCCAGATGCCAAGTGTACTTTGATATGCTATACGGTGTGGCTATTTCATGTAATGCTACACAAAATAGATAGTTTGACTTCTTAAATGAAGTCGCAGTGATAGTATCGCACTGGACCAAGCACTGCTGGTGTGTTAAAGAAACTGTATGTGTGACCCAGAATCTGCCAATTCCTCACTTAATAGACGGTGTCTTTTTTTTCTTTCTTCTTTTGTTTTGGAGAACAGTGACAAAAGTGAGTATGATTAGCTTGTTTTGACTCTTTCAACAAGGACAAATGTTGTGTGAAGGAGCTTTTCTCCAGAGGGCTTTGTTTTGTGGCTGAGGGACGCTTGTGACGTGGCTCCTGTGGGCCAGTCTGGGCCTGCATCTCTCTGATTATCTTCGTCACTGAGCTCCCAGAGGACCCGCAGTTTTGATCAGGTGGCCATTGTGCCGCGGCTGATAACAGGCCTATTCCCTGGTGTCTGAGGCTCACGAGAAGGAAAACAAGCTGAGTCCCGTGAACTGATAGATCCTCTTAGCAGGTATTTGAGTAACACTGTGACTCTCTTGGCCCTTCGCTGGGCGTCGCCCCCCGTTTCTGTGTAACTCGATCGTAGAGGGCCCCACGGCAGAGCATGGTGGTCCGGCAGAGTGGAGCGTAAGAGCGCTTGACAAACCTTTGCACCTTCACCCTGTTATAGAGGGAAAACACTGGCAGACCTTCAGTTTGGGGAAGATAATGACATAGTGTGTTAATCCTCAAATCTGAGGAATGCTCTGGGGCTAATCCCGGGATTTTGGGGGATTGCAACCCTGCTTTGGCTCCTAGAAACGAAGGGTTGCACACCTCTGGATGGAAGTTGGCTTTTTGTGGCCTCTGTGTACGTTGGGTTTGTACATCGTGTCCGCCTCAAACTTACGTGGCTTCATTGCGTTCAAGCTGAAAGGGACAGACTTTCGAGGGAGATGTTTTGTGCGGGCAGTTTCTCAAAGGTGGACTTTTAAGGTGCTATAGGAGACCGTAAAGGGTCGAGCTGCTTTTCTTAGAACAGCCAGTCGCCATGAATAAGCAGTGAGCTCGCTGGCTCTGTGCTGGGGTGGGGGGGCACACAGCACACCCACGTGTGCAGTGAGATGGATGCAGGGTGAGCTCTGTGAGTGCCACCCCCCACCCCCAAACATGTCCGACTGCTTTGCATACTGTCACTGTCCTGTTTGTAAATATCCTCATGTTTTGCAGCCACTTTGCTCGTATGTCACCAAGCCCCCCCCCCCTTACATTTTTTTAAATAAACCCTGCTCTGGCCAGCCCTCCCCCATCTTTCCCTTTCTTCCGCTGTCGCCCCCCTTCCTTGCACCCCTCCCCCTCTCGTCTCTCTCTCTCTCTCTCTTTCTCTAGCTCTCTCTCTCGCCCTCCCTCTCAAAGGAGATTGATTGGGTAATCTGGCACTCTGCCAGCGGTGCCCGCTTGCTTGGGGGAAGGAGAGAATCAGGGCAGAATGGAGAGACATGGGAACAAACAAACAAATAAATAAAATAGTTGCCGGTGGGGGGGGGTGCAGATGTGCTCGCAAAGGCTGTGCCAGCAACCCCCCCCGGCCAGCCAAGCATGTTTGTGTGTGTGTGTGTGTGTGTGTGTGTGTGTGTGTTCGTGCGTGTGCGCATGTGAACGTGCGCTCTCTGTCACCCTCTGTATTTTCCTTCCTTACCGTCTGACTCTCTCCCTCTCTTTCCCCTTCTTTACTGTTTTCACTTGGTATAAAGGCCGTTAATTATTTTCAGCTGCAGGCTTACAGCACTTTGGGAAGGGGGCTCTTTGTGGTACATTTGTACCATTCCAGGCAGTCCTTTATGTTGACATAAATGTTTTCTATCACTAAAACAAACAATGCTGAAGCCCCGCCTGCCGGGTCACGTGATCAGGGCCAGTCCGGCACCGAGAGAGTTAAAGCCGCCTCCCATTTCTGAAGGCTCCTTCTGGGCATGCTCAGACCTGGATGTGCGGTTAATATTTGATCCCGGTTCTGTTTAAGAGGCCTTGGAGCTCTGTGGTGTATTTTTCAGCAGCATCTTTGTTCCTCTGGACCATGATGTTGTGGGTGGGGTGGTTCTCCTGGCAGAACTGGCTGTGCTGTTTTGTTTTGGAGTCCGCCGCCCTTGTGTACGCCGTTTGTGCTGGTTTTTCCCCTCAACCTGTGTCAGTCTGTCCTGTCTGTCTGTGCTGTCTCTGTCTGTTGTTGTATATTTCATAATACAAACTAAGTTTTGCATGGTGGGAGTATCGTTTACCCGCCGTTCCGCAAACTGGATAAATCGACACTTATGTTTTTATTCCGGTGCATAAAATATTAGCAGGTATTACCTTGTAACACGGCCCCCATTCAGAGACCATTCTTAAGCGGGCGTATTAAAATCTTAATGCGGTGTATAGCGGGTGACAGTGGAAGTCCCGGTTAGATGTATTATGCAGCACAGATCAGCAGGTAGAGGGACTGGGCTTGGAGCAAAAAGCTCGCAGACTGACATCCCAGGACTCGGAACTTAGCAAGAAGTCATGAAATATCCAGCTGTACAAATTGGCATAATTTCGCAGTGTGGTGCAGTCTTATTATTAATGCCTGTCACTTTGTCTGTGCAAAGCAGTTAAATAATAATTTTACAGTCTGTGACTGGTCTGATTTTGTGTTTTCTCCTTCCATTTTTTAATATATAAAGGGCATGTTTGTTAGACAGAGGGGGTGTCCCTGTCCATGTAGTCTGTCGGGGGGTTAGTATACCAGTGGCCTCCTGCCTGGGGCCCATAATTACTAACCGTCGCCACCCCCCAACCTCCCCCCTGTTTGATCTATATTTGTTCCCTGCTTTGAAGTTCCAGGGCTGGAGAGACTCCAGCCACATACAAAAATCATTGTCGGACAGGGAAAGAACTTCCTCCAGCTACCGTAAGGGACATAAATTAGCGGTGTGACGCCACCGAGCGAGCTTTCAGCGAATGGCGTGCCGCTCTCGCCGATTGCCTCCGTTTAGTTTTCCCGCTTACCGGGTGGCGTCAGCTAGGAACGTTAGCGGAGGGCAAGATTCTGCTAGTGACTTCGCCGCCGGCCAGAGTGGCGGTGGTCACACAGAGTTCAAGGCCGCGTTAAACGGGCAGGAGTGTTTAAAGCCTGGGCGCGCTTTAAATTAAACGGTCTGTATATTTTAGTGTTGCTTTGATATGGACATGCGATCCATACAAATCACAAGTGCTTGTGGTGAACATCCGCACCGCTAATTAAAGCTAATTACACAAGTAATAAGCTGCTGAATGTTCTGTTGATATATTCCTCGTTTTCTGATGTGTTTTTTTTATGCTAATAACAACAGTTGGTTGTGGGGAGATCAGAAATGTGTTGGCCTGGGTTTCTGTTGTATTTCATGTACCTTTATTTAGAAAAGGTGTCTTTTGTTTCATTCCAGAATGTTCTCATTGACTTTTTCGCTTGTAGAGCAGATTGGTTGTATTTGTGCTGCATCATTTATGTAACAGATGAATGACATGGTTCCTGTATGTGTGTCAGAGTGGAGGAATGCTGGATTTTTTTTCACCATCTTAAGACATGTACATGGCTGATCATTTTTGAACCAATCGCTTTATTTTTCCAGTTGATGAAGCTTGTGCGTGTTTTTGTTTGTTGGTTGTCGCGGCACGCTTGTGCGTTGGGAAGCGTATTGGTTTGTGCGGCGGACGCGTGTGGTAGCGTGTTCAGCAGCAGAGCAGCACCGTGCTGTCAGGCCAGAGGGCGCTGGCTTGAGGAGAGCTGCTGTACGTCCTTTAGCGTCCTGAACCTGAACGCACGGCCAGCTCTCTCCTTCGCGTCGGTAAGTGATATGGCCGGGCGAGTAAGGAGCGAGGATGCTACCTAACGGCCCAAGTCTCCTTCCAGTCTCTCTCCCTCCTCCCCAGCTCACTCTCACTTTCTTCTCTCGCTCCCTTGATCGCCCAGCCCCTCCCCGTGCCCATGTCGTTGGCACGCTGTCCTAGCTCACCGCATGTCTGGTGCCGTAGCGCCGCCTTGGCTCAGCGCTGCCAGTATACCA